CCTCCAAAATTAGTTAATGACATTTTAGTTATATAAACAACTAAACACCCCTTTATAATACTATTTTAAATAGATTTAACGATATTTGTACAAAACTAATGTCGAAAGAACTCAACATTAGTCTTATAATGACCACATCGTCGATACCTTTCTAATGATATATACATATGTATATATATATGTGTACGTATATATGATTTAGAATTTATTTTAATAAGTAAATATGTTATTATAATTTGTAACTCGTTCATACGAACTACATTTTTGACGTTATTTATATTCACGCGTAGGTGGAGACGTACTTTACAACTTTCGTTTAGACTTCGTCGGCTAATTTTGACTTTATTTTTAAAGTTATATTTTTAACAGGCTGGGACAGGATTGGTCCGTTAAAATCTCATAACTTCTTCATTTGATGTCCATTTTCGTCTGTCTTTTTATCGTTACGCTACTAATAACGAGATCTTGGATTCTCGTTTAGGTTGTGTCGGCTAAAAACCACTCGATCTAATATTCGAATTTCGGGTTGTACACTACTAATCCAAAACATCGAAAAATCATAACTTCCTCATACGAAGTCAGATTTGGGCGTTCTTTTTATGGACGCTTTCGGTTTAACATATTATACAACTTTCATTTAGATCGCTAAGTCTAAATCTCGCTCTATTGTAAATTCACTATTTACGTTTCCCGGCATTGTGTCGGTTCCATCGCGAAACTTCAACGGGTTATAACTTCTTCATTATAACTCAGATTTCGGTGGTCTTTATATGTACTGAAACCTTGTAACATATACCACAACTTGGTTAAGATTATTTATTCTAAATAATATTTTGCCGAAAAGTCATTTTCGACACTTATTGCCTCTAAATTGACTAGCCCGTATCTACGGGCGTTACACTTCATTTCTACAACACTCGGGTCTTATGGTTTAAAGACTACAACTCTTTTACAGACAGAAAATATAGGATTTTCTGGGAAACAAACACTATACATTACATTTTACTTACAACAGAAAATATAGGATTTTCTGGAATTCTCTCTTTATACTTTTTCAAAAATATGAACACACATGCTATAATACATTATTTGAAACAAAACTCTCAAACCATTTTTACGGAAAATATCAGATTTTTTGGTGCTTACAAATTATACAAAACTTTTCATACAAACATGCTTATGAACTCACCAACATCATATATGTTGACATTTTCAAAATAACTTGTATTCTCAGGGAAGCGTTAAGCAGATTGGTCATCAAGAATATGTGGACTTTTGTTGTATTTTTGTTTCATCATACATTTAATATTTTGGAATGTAACTTTTGTGAACAAATACAATGATTTAAAACCGTGGATGTTGTATTATTGAATGTGTGATGATGATGTTGTCTTTGATTTATTTATATACACTATGATGATATTACAAGATGAAGTCACTCGCCCTGGACATTTCCGCCGTTCTAGTTCGGGGGTGTGACATTTAGGTTGCCTGAAATCTTAATCAACGATTTTTGGTGACTTGCGATGTTTTAAGCTGAAATTTGTTAAATTTCATTGATGTTTCATTTTTAATGTTCGATTTGATATGTTTGATCATTATTTGCTTTTTGAGTTGGATATATGACTAACAAGAAGAAATGTAGATTATTACATTGGATAGATGCTTAGCTAGAACTAAGATAGTACAAGGAGAAGCTCTAAGAGATGAAGTAGGAATTGGAGTCCTTGGAGGGTTTGCTTGTGCATGCCAAGAACAATAAAAGAGTTGCTCAACTGGAAAGGTTTGTGGCAAAGCATGAAGCTACGATTTCAAGGTTGAAAAGGTGCTTGATGTGGACTGTGTTGCTTTATATTTGCTTGTTTATAGGATTGGTTTGGTGTGTCATAAAGTTAAAAACCATATACATAACTTTTAAGTCTTTTGTATGGCTGATGTAAAAGTTCCAACGAAGATGCATATATTTTATATAGTTGATATATAATTCCAACCCATATGCATGTCTTCTATTAGATTATGGTAGTGGGGTCAATGTAAACTTTTGGATGATTCATTCCAGGTTCATTGGGTAGTGTTTTAGTCCTAGAAATCAGTTTGTAATATACTCTTTTATATAAGTTAATGGAATATATAGTTGGAAAGTGTAATTGTAAATTTCTTGCCATTATTATAATGACTAGCGTTGTATTATTTTACCTTATTTTACTTATTAAAGTGTGTATCAGTACATGGAATATGCAGGAGTGGACCAATATGTTCCCTTTTAATGTGCAAAAATTGAGTAACTTTTAAATAATTAGGACCACATTGTTTTGGTGTGTTTACATCATGTACAAATAACTTTAATGTAGCATATTAACCATTCGTGTGCATGCATGCAATAATTTAGACAACCTAGTGTCTAACATGATAAATTCATTGGATCTACATTAAAACAACTTTCATATAAACAAAGTGAAACATTCCAATTTAGTCCATTTACTTTCTTACATGATAAACACCATTGTCCTACAATAAAACAACTTTCATACAAACATTGCAATTTAAACAACCAAGTTTCTTAAATTTAGACAAATAAGTTTCTTAAACGACAAACAACCAATTTTCCTAAAAAACAACCAACTATGACAACATTACCAAACACCATGCTACTCTACAATAAGAGATTTTTCCTTTGAATTCCTTGGATCGCCATCATTGCCAACTCTTTTACCCAACTTCAGCTTCAAGATTCTCTCTGACTTCCTTTACATCATCCTCTTCAACAATACTGAAATGTGTGGTACTATTGGGACCTCTGGAACTTGTCCATTTCCAGTATCCTATTCAATTGCCTCTTGAACATGTGTCTCCTTTATTGCTTCTTGAGCTTGCGCCTCCTCTATTTACTGCTTAATTTGCACCCCCTCTAATGTTTGTTCAACTAGCACTTCATCAAACAATTCCTCTAAATCCACCTCAACTTGAGCCTATGTTTCCTGTGTTTGAGTAATATCCACCTCAAATGGGGTGACTTGTATTTCTTGCTGGTGGTTTCCTTCAACTTGTATAGCATGGAAAAATATTGGTAAAGTGGTTTTAGTTTATTACATCTACTTACTAGTTTAAATTAACATTTTGTTTCCTTCTCTTCTTAACAATTAGTCTGTGGGGTCTTCCAACTGAACAAGTTACTTTCTCGTGACCTGGTTTCTTGAAAACATTGCACTTGAACCCCTTTCCATTTTTGGAAACCTTCTTGGTGCAATTATTAACAGTTGAATCCTTTCTATTCTTTGTCTATGTTCTACCATTATTTTCGATGGCATCTATTTTCCTTTCCACAGTTGGTCTTCCAGACATTCTTCTCTTCACATGGGGTAAATGTGGTGTGTATTCAGTTTCTGGACACATGTTACACCTATCCATCCCTACAATTCTATACATATATGATCCCGTGTAGGTATTACTACTAAACATCTTGTCCACATATTCCTCTACATTCCTATTGAGATACATTACACTAGCAACAAAATGGATACACCAATGTCCAGTGAGTTTCCATTACCTACATAAGCAAGTTCTCTTCACTAGATTAACCTCATATGCATCTACAATTCCTCTTACCTCAAACTGATTCAAGCCACTTGGTAGTATAATGTAATGCCTCTACTAAATTTTTAAGTTATTGAGTAGCTCCCTTATTTCTGGGCATAATTGATTTCCCCATGCATGTCCCTTCAACTTTAACTTGTATTATTTATCCATCATATTCAATCTTAATTTCTCTAACATTGTGATAATAGGCTTTTTTTCTAGCATCAACTATGAGAGCGTTGAAACTTTCACACTTACCATTCTCTACAGCAGCACAACATCTTCCAGCTTCCTAAAATGCCAATGACCAAGTCTTTGGGTCCTTCTCCATCACGTACTTATGAGCATAGGATTTAATATCTCAGGCTCTTTCATTGCAATTTTAAATGCTTGTTCAATTGTTGATCTTGTAGCTCTCTAGAATAAACTATCATAGTGGGCACCACACTACCTTTTCTAAAAGTTTTGATTGATGTGCCTAGCAAATTGTCTGTACTCTGCAAATGGTATCATCTCTTTCACAACCTCTACCGTAATGTCCCGATTTTCAACCCAATTTTTTTATTTTTTAAATAAATATATATCATAGTATAGTTATATTATACGGAAAACATGATGTGAATGCGCGTGTGTACAATCGAGTCTTTTCGTTTTTTATAATCTGAATGAGTACCAAAAAAACATATATAATTAATTAGGTAAGCACAAGTTTTAAAACACTGTTGCATGAGTCTTAAGCAAATAAAATTTATCACTACTTGAATTCACTAAAGGATAACACATGGAAGTAGTGTCAAATCCACAGGGATATTGTGACAACAATAAATAAGATCGATAGATTCTATAATAAAGAACGTGAATTACATGACAAGAAACAAAGATCAAAATGATGTGGAATGCTTTGATTAATCAACTTTAGAAGAGTTCTCAAGAACTTCTCTGTAAGATCTTACAAGCGGCTATTATGGTTGGAAAACGTTTACCCTAATGTTACATGTATACACTATAAATAGTCTAAACTACAAAGCTAAGCCGAGAATGGACACGCCCAAACTGGTACAAAATAAACTATAATACGCATACATTTGAAACAATACTTTTAAACCCAAAAATCTCCCCCTTTGTGTCAAATTCTGAAGGATTTTCTCTATTGTTGACCACTTTGCACGCTGAATAGTTTTGGCATCAAATTTAGAAGCGTGTTTCAAATAACCAGATACCATTTGATCACATTCGAAAAGCATTTAGATTGGTAGAATTATTTATCTTACACGCTTGGTCCATGGCAAGTATAGTCTTTAGAGCTTCTATAGATTACAAGTGTTTGTCTCGCAAAAGAATGCGCTCTTCTGAACTACACCATTTACCTTTCTCTGATAAACAAGGATCCAATGCTCCTTTTAGATAACTCCCATTCATTGCTTCTAAAGATCCTTTGCTTCCTCTTCTGGCTTCATAAGTGTCCTTTTCTTCAGAACTACGGCTATGTCTACATCCATTTTTGCAATTTCTTGAATGTAGCAGATGAGAATCCTTCGCAGATGGGCAACAATTGGCTCGTATTTATTTTCATCCTTTGAAACAATGTTGAACAAATAAATCCAATCAAAGGGATTCATAAACGGAAATTCTGCCAAAGTGAATTCATCCAAAACTTTATCTTTTTCCCGAAATCCCTTGAACCTTATGTTTGTAAAATCTTCAGTAGGCACAACCGAACAAACCTTCACCCCGATAATCTTCTTTAAGCTCCAAGTCTGATACTGAGGCTTGGCATACTTTAAGTATAAATTGAAGAGATTTAGATTCAATGCTTTTTTAGAAATCAACTCCTCTTCTATCTTTTCAAAACACTGAAATAGAAAGGCCCTGGGAGTAATGGGAAAATCAAATTGAGATTCTGCTCAGTTATTCAGCTCAAAAGCTACAGAAGGCTCAAGCCAATAGATACTCAGGTCATCAATGGCTTCTTATTGAATTATATCAATCAACCATGGAGGAAAGAGTGACTTCTGAGTCTCAAGCATAATTTTTGCAATATTCGCCTCATATTCTTGTGCCACTAACTCCTTCCGAATATTCAGAAGATCATCCACCTATTTGTCTCTCTTCTTTTGCACAAGCCTCTCAGAATAGAAAGTTATTCTTCTTCTTCTTCCTCATCATCAAAAAGCTTCTCTTTCCCTTTGTTTGATGCAGAAGCTTCATTACCCTTCTAATCAACAGTCTTCGGTTTTTTTGAAGTTCATTAGTTATTTGCTTTGCCTAGGGCTCTTTGTTGTCTCTCCCTTGTTTCATAAGTGCACTAGTACCCAAAAACACCTTCTACTAATTCAGCATTGCAAAGACTGGTTGTAGTTTGTCCGAAAGTTGTTGGCGAACAGAAACTGTGAACAAGGAGTCACGATTCTCCACAAGCCGGTGTCGGTATTGATTGACTATAGAAACATAGCTTTTAACAACGGTTTTCTCAGATTCCAAATCATCAACATGCTTGTTGGTATATTGTAGTTTCACCGAAAGGACCTTGGCCTTCTAAGTATTTTCAACCAACTGATCCATAATCTTGTTTTCTGTGGCTAAGTCCTCCTGCAAATTTTCAATCTTGGTAAGAACAGAAGCGTTAAGATCAGCATTGTTAACTTTGATTGCAGCATGAACAACTAAGTTGATGGGTTTTGGTCATAAGGCATCCTATGTGCTCATACAAACCCTAATGCTTGGATTTAGGTTTCTCTATTGTACATGCTTTGAATCCAAGACTATAAACCCTAATTCTATCATATGGATATCGACATTAACATATAATTAGGTTTAAGATATTACCTTGATTGTTATGTAGCAATAACAATCCCAATTCCTCCTTGAATTGACCTTGGAAGGCTTAGAGTCACAAGTGTCACTCCTCTAATGGCTTACAAACACCAAGAGCAAATGGAGAAGGTATAAAGAGAGAGGAGAGAGGTAGGAATTCATCCTTAGGACTTCTTGGGAAGGATTAGACGAATTCATGAGCCTTAGGGGGTTTATATAGGTGTAAAGATTAGGGTTTTAGTCCTTATCCTTATCTAGTTGCTTGCCCACCAAGTAACCATAATATAAGTCTTAGAAATCCTTATCCTAGTCGAATTCTAAGGCATTATCTCCTTAAATTCGTTCACCCTATATTTAAGATAATCCTTACCTTATTTTGTAACTATCACATAATTACAAATCAGCCCCTCTAGTTTAATTAATTACACTTGATCACAAAATTAATTCCTAATTAATTATTGACCAATATTAATTAAACAAATATGATTTCTCCTTTAATATATTATTCTTATAACATATTAATAAATCATAATAACCTCTCTCTCTTTATTTATTTCTCCAATCAAGTTGCTTTGGTGAAGGCAACCCAAAAGGACCATGCACCATCGGGTCAAGTACATACCAAAATAGTTATGGACTTAGACACTAATCCAACAGTCTCCCACTTGGATAAGTCTAATAACTATTATGCGTATGACTTCAGATCCTGATCTGCAATCGTAGCTTTCCAAAGCCGCTGTCAACTCTGATCCTATCAGATACGCGTGTCCTTAGATAAGGGATCATATATTCCTCCATTCTAGATATCATATGAGATATGATTTCTAATCATTCTCTTTGTACTACTTCTCGATTTCTGATTTATGACGACAGACTAATTGAACAAATCAAATTAGCCCTAGCCCGGCCGAGCATTTACGTTTGTCATCACTAAACCATCGAGGGGCCCAAAAGATATCGCTTTTATCCTTCTTTGGATAAAAGGAACGGATAAACTTTGATACAATGCTTGCTTGCACTTACTAACCAAATCACACACAACAATATGTTTTATAACACCAAGTTACTAGTGCGTTTACATATTATCAATGTGCAACCGATTAAAGATACAACTCACACATCTCGGTTTCAAGAATATAAGATGTTATCGTCTCACCAATCACTCGTGATACAATTCATGGAGTGATCCAAGTGAGCGTGGGTTTAATCCAATGCTCAAATTCATATTCATAAGCACTCATGAACGTTGCAGCAAACATTTGCTTATGTCTAATACTCTTTTAGACAATCCACACACCAATTCACGACAGTCTTCATTCATATCTACTTCCAACATATGAACGACTGTGGCCCGTTTGAATAATTGATTATTCTTAATAAACTCAATTATTCTGGAAGTCAAAACATGCAAAGTGAAACACAAGAATAATACTAATCCCATATGGCCTCAACCCTTTGAGTATAAATAAAACTCCTTTTATTTATCACCATATCGATTACTCATTATTTGTCGTTTCGGGTAATCAACTTCTTACTTGAATTATTACACTTGTCCCATGCTCCTAGCATGCACACAATGTTTACCTATGGTTCTTACTTTGTGAAATAGATCAATTGACACATTTCCAATCATTCTCATTTCACAACTCCAAATCCATTTTTCATAAGTTTAAGAATATCAAATTCTTGCCACTTATAGAATATGCTAGATTCTAACATTTTATGCAATGATTCTTTCGTAATGTCACTGCACCAAAGTCACAAAGACTATTGCCAATGATATTACAAAGTCCTCTAACGGAGATTGTTACAAGACAATTCCTTAGATATGATGTCTCTCACTCAAAGTACATTCCTTTGAACATCCTTTTGCATAAAAGTTTCTAATCTAGTCATAGATTTTCAATATTCAATTCCTAATATGGACACGCTTCCATATTTTCCATATGACAACTCATTCTTAATAGAATCTTATCTATTCATAATAATGTCAAGATGGTCCATCCAATACCATGCTTCCAACTACTCACAAGCAACCAATCCTCTTCGAACTTTGGATTGTCCTTTGATAGTTGTTTAATTATTTTAGTCAAAACCAATTCTAGTCCCTTTTCCCTCTAAATGCGCTAGACATTTGGAAAATTTTAGAATGGTCAAACATTAAAGCATTTGCAATCGATCATATACCCGAAGCGTATGGGACACGATGCACATAATGTTTTATTTGCTATGTTCTCAAAATTCGAATTGTGAAAAGGAATTCCGTAATCATAATCGAAATTTTAAGAACGCACTATGTACCTTTGACTAAATTTATTAACATTTATCAACCTAAGCCTTTAGATTTTGAAATGAAGCATAATATTCTCTCCCTTAATTATAGCAAAACAACTATTCCATCCTTACAACTTTGCAAAGAATGACTCTTGTTTTCTATAATTAATATTGCCAACTTGCTATACTTTCCTTAATAATCATACAATCATAACTTTTATGCTCCCACTATCATGATGATTACTATAAAACATAACACTTATGCTCCCACTAGCTTCAACATGTATTCAGAAACAGCTTAACTTTCAGAAAAAAAACAATACTTATTGAATTTCTTAAGTTCATGTTTCTAATACTTAGTGCTTTGATAATCTTTTATCAATGCTTCTTGAACTTATACACCTTTTCCTTAGATAGTTCATATGTGTGTCTAAACAATTAAGACTAATTGCCAAACCTCACAATTCAAATCATGGAAAGGGATACCGTAACCATAATCGAATTCGAGAATGCAATTTTACAATCACTATCTTCTTAAAATCTTTCTTAGAGAAAGCATTTTCTCACAATCATTTTCATGAAGGAGGAAATCTTATTACACTTAGATTTAAACGGTGTATGTGTTCCTATCCATGTGAATTTGTTAAAACCAAGGTTTACGACAAATTCAAACTCATATGGACCGAACTTTCTTAATCTTGATTTCTTGCCTTATGGTAGCACAGCTGCCCACCACGTCTTTCAAGCGGCTCACCTTTTCCTATCAATGTACCTTCCATTGATTAAGGTGTTTTTCCTTTTGTGCGTTCAAAATGAGAACTCATAGGACTCACATGCATAATTAACTCAATTGGAAACAGCACAGAAACAAAATAATGTCAACACGATAGGTTGTAAACCTCAACTCATGTGCTAGTGATGATCAATAAGGTTTATTTGATTTTTTCTTGAAACCTTTCAAGACCATTAAGGCTCCCACTGACTCCTTGACATATAAGATTCTCTTGTCAATAACCATTTCTTGACAAAAAAAATATTCAAGAGTTAGTGTAGCTTTTATCAAAACACTTCATAAAATGGTCCTAGTTGGTCTTTGTCTTACCCAAGACATCGCAACTTTCCACATTTGATGAATGTTATAAACCTTCTTAATACTTATCACTCAATTTCACAATCTTAACTCTAAGACTTGTTTTGGAATGAAGTACGATTGACTTCTTGATTTAACCATTTCTTCAGTTCTTGATTTCTCTACTTAGACATACAATTGTACTAAGACTCACTTAGAGGATCAATTAAGTTATGGTTCTTAATCATTAAGACCTATCATAAAGCATAAAAGCTACTCTCCCTTCTTCTTATAACGGAGAAACTTTTATCTTTCTGCCTACTTGATTCTTCTTATTCGTTTTGTTATTGATTTAAACCTTTTTAATCAATTCCAAATTACACTTAATCTTATAAGTATAATCATATTTACTAAACCTTTAGTAAATCATGACGAATATCGTTGTTACTCTTATGGTGGACTTGATCAACACGCAACTTTGTGTGCTCAATCTCCTAGTCCTTCACTTGACACTTTGTCAACAAATTAGTCTAATTTCCAAATATGAAATTTCTCATTCATCGTGCAACCAAGTTGCATGATTCCAAGTTTCTGTCCAATTGAAACTTGGGCGATGAGAAACTTTCCTTATTCAGTAAATTCTTCGACTTTCCATAAATAACATAATAAGAACCAAATCCATTATTGCTAATAATAGAAACATTCAAAAACATCAATTTTTCATATACGCCATTGCAATGATAAATAAATAATATAAATTCAAAATTTATTTTAATGCGAAAAAATTTGTCCTTACAATGCAATTCATTGAAAAACTATGCTAATACATCTTTCTTAGCAATCTAATTCTAACTCTAAGTAGTAGCTCAA